ATCGTGAAAAGTCATTCTTATATATACATGGCAAATGAAGTAAGAATAAAAAATAGAGAGAGAAAAAAATCAATTTTTACATAAAGCTTAGCCTATTGTGCAGGAAGGGATGAAGGAATATTTAAAATAATCTTTAAAATAAACATGAGCACATATAAATGAGGGTCATGCACTCAAAGTCAGAATCTTAAACAAATATATAACTTGTAACCAGTCATAATTTTCACTTTATACTGTATATATTTATACTGATACCTACAAGGGAGAAGTATCAGTAAAACACTTTTAAATCAAGCATTTTTTTTATGCTAATTTCCTTTCCCTACAAGAAAATCACACTAAGCATATCTCTGCACACATGCAACTAAATCTAGGCCTTGCTGAAATAATAACAAAACAAAACAAAACAAAAAAATATAGATATATAAATACACTGGAGATGCATATCAAATACACCATCAGGCAGCTGGTCTATTAGAAAGGAGGTTACTGAAGATTGAAGATTCAAAAAACAATATCTTGTGTAATAAATAGGTTTCATTGTAATTAATCATACTCAAATATCTTTTAACTGTAGCAGTTCCTCTGTCCCTACATAACACAATACTAACTCTTTCCTTTCATTTCATTTCTATATTGCAAAATACTATATAAAAAACTTTACTCCATTTTCCCCAATGGTCTTTGTAATGCTTCTTAAATTCTACCCCAAAATATAGTATTTATGATTCTTAACATTAAGACTCTAAAATTAAGTAGTTCTTACTATTCTATGGAGTACAAAACTTCCATTCTGTGGAAGCAAACAGTGCTTAGTAGTATTCAGAGATTCCAATCATTTTCATTATATTTAGAAATCAAATAAACAATATTCACAAGATTTGGTGCTACAATCAGGCTGCAGCCTGCAAAGCCAATGTTTAGGGAGAGATCAACACAAGACATGTTATTAGTAACCTTTATCATGCAAAAACAAATAAAAAATCAAAACTGATGACTTCTAAAAAAGGCATAAAAGCAAACATAACATGAGTGCAAACAAGAAACAAAAAAAGACAACTCATCACTTAATGAGCTCCGTATCAGTTACAACACCTTTATTGCATCCTGCTTATGATGCTTCATTTAAAGAAATTAAAAATTACTTCCATCTGAGCTTATGATTTGATTGAACTGGTAACAAATCCAATGTTGTAACTCCTAGACAAGACAGCTGAACTAAGCTCTAGAGAAAGCAACGCAACACAATCCATTAACTACCTCCGTCACTCGTGCTTACGCAAAATCCGATAAAATACTGCTAGATGATTCACTGGGTGACTTGGGGATGGCTGACAGTACATGGACTGTGTGAAAACTCTGTATACTGTCACTGGATGCCCGTTCTTGAGGAACTGGCCATGTGTAAAAACCCCAAACTGCCGACCTGCACACACTACGCTGGCCATCATATTCCACATCCCTGGGATGTCCCAGGAAAATGTATTACTGAGACACAGTGCTACTAATGAGCAGTTGGGAGGACCAGTTACTTGTTTTAATAGCTATTTCTACATTCTAGGGGGAATGACATACAGCATATTCAAAAAATATCCAGAAAAAATACCTGTAGAGCACATGTTATACCTCAAATCACATTACTTGATCTTTTAGCACAATAAATGTGTCAGTGCAAAAATACTGAAAGGACTTGATACTCTACTCTGAAAAATATGACCAACCATATGGGAGAAAAAATACTACCACATATTCCAGTATATTTACATGTACCGGAGGAACACCAACAGCAGAAAATGATAGAACATAATAGTGTTATTTAAGTACTTTCTGAAAACATGAAAGATTAGAAAGCAAAAGGTAAACTCTGACAACTGCATCCTCCATCTGAAGCTTAATTACAAGACTTTCTAATGGGCACAAGGCTTTCATCAAGACTTTACCAAGAAAAAAATTACTGAACAGAAAATCTTTCTCAATACCCAATACCTACAAAACAAACAATCAAACAAACACATAAACACACACTTTCACACACACACACACTCTCACAAACACTCACTTTCTCTCACACATGCGCACACACATACACACACACACACACACACACACACACACACACACACACACACACACACACACACACACACACACACACACACACTCACACACACTCTCACTCACACACACTCTCACTCTCACTCTCACACTCACACTCACACTCACACTCACACTCACACTCACACTCACACTCACACTCACACTCTCACACACACACACACACACACACACACACACACACACACACACACACACACACACACACACACACACACACACACACACACACACACACACTCACACTCACACACACACTCACACTCACACTCACACTCACACACACACACACACACACACTCACTCATTCTCTCTCTCTCTCTTTCTCTCTCTCTCACATACACACGAATGTACAAGCACACGCACACATGTGTGCGTTAGATTAAGAATTAGCTCCCATCACCACCACATTATGTATAATACAAATTGACAGTGGCCAGCTGACATCACCTCACTGGAGAAAAAATGGAAGGGTACTCACCAACAAATTTTTATATCAATTCTTTGCTCTTATTATTTATCTTATTCTCTGAGTGTGCCCCTCTCCAGATGGTGGCATCCTAGGCAACTGCCAACATGCCTTATGCCAAAAGCCAGCCCTACACACAGATACATTTATTCATTTATTCACAATCTGTACCTGCATTCATTTGCATTCTCTATTTTCAATTCTTGTAATCTCTTCAATTTGTTGCTGCAACACCTGATTTTACTAATCATTTTCTTTCAATTATCAGACATTTAAAAATATTCTTAATTTCAGCAACTTATCTGTTACCATATTCCCAATAAGTACTTTCAAATGTCCATCAATAAAGTTTTACAGATCTATAAGAGTTATAACAGGGGTTCCTACATCAGGGTTATCCAATTATTCTATGCATTATATAGAAGTAGTCATTTTCCAAATATCAGTATTTTGTTATTATGGATATGTATTCATCATATAGCTTGATAAACAACATATAAACATTTGTTTTCATTAGAAAAGGAACATGTAGGACTGCTAGAAATGTAGAAGCTCTCTTGATTAGAAAATTACCTAATTTCAGCCTAAGTCAGTGGAGCTTGGATGACCTTACATCTTCACTGGTAATTAAAGCGTCCTCTATACTCTTCACCCTTAACCTCCCTCCCCGTACCTGATTCAGTTCTTGGTCTTGTGATCCCTCTGCTATATGATATGATCTTATCAAAATTCTCTTTAAGTATCCATCTGGTTATTTGCTTTGTCTGAAGAGGAAATCTTGAAGAGATTGAAACATTTCATATTGCTGTTAGATTTCATTTCACAGGAACTGCTAAAAGTACATAATATGTTATCAAGAAAATACAATTCTTTGTTTCCAGCAAATAGCCAGCTTAATATTAGTTTTGCTGCTAATGAAGTGAAACCCTTAGTGTAGCCTAACTCCTACCAAATTACCTTAAACACATACATACACCCCTACACCTCTGGAGAAGACTGCTCATCAAAAGATTCAATGTAAAACAACCAGATGACAAAAAGACTACAATGAAAAGACTTACCCAACAGACCACCCTTCTGGCAGATCAGGGTCGCCTACTTCAAAACTCACAGCACCAGAATTATTAGCCTCTTCCTTGTTTTCCTGTAAATAAAGTAATCTTTGTACAAGTCTACTGCTAAATTATTATTCAGATTAGACAATCTAATACTATTAATACACTATCAATTTACAAGACTGCAGTTCGTGCTAATGTAGTTAATGCAACATACATTTAGAGTATCAAATGTATCTTAGGAGTAACTAGCCTTGTGAAAATATATATTTTCAATTATTCATATCTGGGTACAAATCTTATATTCAAACACTGATTTTTTGGTTACATACGGAAACTATTAAACCAAATTATCTATTTCTATATATATCTATTTCATCAGATTTATATTTCTCAACAAGAAAAAAAAAAGTATGTAAATTTTTTTTAGGTATCTTGGGAATTTATCCTTTCCCAAACTTATTCAGTAAAAAAAAAAAAAAAAAAAAAAAAAACATATACTATTGCCTATCCTAGCAAGAATCACTATAACAAAAGTTGAAATACAGAAATTCTAGAAACTTGCAATGGAAGTATACATATCACTTTCCACTATAACTCCGAGGAAATGATTGGGACTACGAGAGCGTACTATAACTTCTGCTTAATTCTACTGATCTATCTACATATTCTTTGCTTTACGGGGCTTAAATTAAGCAAACATGCACTCACAATGCTTGAGTAAGGGGGAGGGGCATCGTCGCTGGTGCGGTGGCTCTTGCGGCGCACGCGATGGTGGTGTGGCTTCAGAGTGTGGTGCATGTGAGGGAAGCTGTCACTTGCGTGATCTGCAACATCAGGAATGTGATTAGGGCTTGATTGGTATATGAGATGCAAAGTGTTTCTTATACATATCTATATATATATATATATATGTATATATATCTATATATATATATATGTATATATATCTATATATATATGTACATATATCTATATATATATGTATATATATCTATATATATATATGTATAACTATCTATATATATGTATATATATCTATATATATATGTATATATATCTATATGTATATATATCTATACCTATATAAATCAATATGTATATATATCTATATGTATACATATACATATATATATATGTATGTGTGTGTGTGTGTATATATATATGTACATATATGTATATATATGTGTGTATATATGTATGTATAAGCATTTATGTGTATATATCTATATATGTATTTATTATATATATTTATATGTGTGTAAATATATATATATATATATATATATATATATATATATATATATATATATATATATATATATATATATACATACATATATATATATATATATATATATATATATATATATATATATATATATATATATATATATATATATATATATATATACTTACATTTCCAGTAGGCAAAAAATTAATATGGTATCACATATATCAAAAGTTATTTGTAACAATGCACGAGTCTCTTTACCTTTATATCACAGAGCACTAAAATATCATAAACATCAACTTTTATTCTTTAAAAAAAAAGGTAAAGAAAGAACAAAAGAAACAAACAACAATTTTTCAAACTCACAGTCAATGTCCATCTCGCGGAGCCTTAGCTCGGACATATCGCGGACTTGGGACTCATCACTATAGCCTGGGGTCCAGGAGGCCGTGGCATCAGCTGCCGAGGACAGTTGGTCAAGCGAGAAATCTTCGCTGGCTTGACCCTCAAACATCTTGTCCATGTCTTCGTTGAGCTGTTCCGTAGGTTTAAGCTGCAAAGGCAAGTCAAAAGTTATGATACAAAATATTTACAACCACTTATGTTCTTGTCATTCTTTAATATATAATGCCTGTCTGAGGGGCTGGGGGATTCCATAGCATTAAATAAGATAACAGTCTTTGGTTTTGGAGTTTTAAAAATGTATAACAATGAATAAATGAATAAATATGAGTGTACTTAAAAATATTTATTGTCCTTAAATTAGACAACCTCTGTACCTACCCTTGCATTTTGCATTGTTTGTTTCTTTGTTTGTTTAGTGATGACTTGAACACAGATTCCACATCACTAAACAATAGGAAATATATCTTTGGTTTTGAATTTGATACTCTTTAGAAATTGCAAGTAATAAATGCATATGCCTTTATCTTTTCTACACAAGCAAAAGTATGAGAAAATACAGTAGAGATATTATAATTAGATATTTTGCATTCAAATTTAGCTTGCTAAATAGATGTTTAGAACTGTCCAAATCGTAAGTGCTAAAAGGTGTGTGGAAATGAGAAATAATGTATATACATATTTTAAATAATTAACCATTCATAAAAAAAAAATAATAATAATCTAATACATAACCTTTTTAACTGACTTTTATATTCAGAGCTCATTTTTAAAAATTATCTACATATATATATTATCTATCTATCTATCTATCTATCTATCTATCTATCTATACATATATATATATATATATATATATATATATATATATATATATATATATATATATATATATATATATATATATATGTATATATATATGTATATGTATACAAATATGTATTTATATACATATTCATATATTTCTATATATACACACATATATATACATATACATAAGTAAATATATATATACATATACATATATACACATATGTATATACATATACATATATGCATGTATACATATATACATCTGAAAACTAACAATATATTACTGCTTCTTTGGTCTCTCAGACTCTACTGCTGCTCAGAAAATAATCCTTAACAGATCAACTCAGCTTATACAAACTTCATAAGAATTTCTCTCCTAAAGATTAAACCCTCACATATTTCCTTTTGGTGGTCTACATCACCTCATAAAGTTCATCTTCACCTTCATATCAATATTATCTGTATTACAAGACACTCATTTTTTTCTAGACTCATTTTTCCTATCACAAAATCTGGAATATGACAGAATGCATCCTAATCCCCATTTAATAAAACAGAAAAACCAGGTCAGGCAATTACTCAAACTACCAAAAATTACTCCAACTATTCTAGAGAAAGAAAGCCTTACCTTCTTCAGAGATTCCTTCCTCGCTATGACAGATACAAAAGACAAACGAGAGAGAGCAGTTAATGTTAAAACAGAGATAATGACATCATGACCTGCATGGCCTGTACAGGGTGACAGGTTGGGGATGATAATTATTTGATGAAAGATAGATTGATGATTATTATATCTTAATTGATAAATTGTGTGTGTGTGTGGTTGTGGGTATTTGTGTGGGGTTGTGGTTGTGTGTGTGTGGTTGTGGGTATTTGTGTGGGGTTGTGGTTGTGTGTGTGTGGTTGTGGGTATTTGTGTGTGGTTGTGGGTATTTGTGTGGGGTTGTGGTTGTGTGTGTGTGGTTGTGGGTATTTGTGTGTGGTTGTGGGTATTTGTGTGGGGTTGTGGTTGTGTGTGTGTGGTTGTGGGTATTTGTGTGTGGTTGTGGGTATTTGTGTGGGGTTGTGGTTGTGTGTGTGTGGTTGTGGGTATTTGTGTGTGGTTGTGGGTATTTGTGTGGGGTTGTGGTTGTGTGTGTGTGGTTGTGGGTATTTGTGTGGGGTTGTGGTTGTGTGTGTGTGGTTGTGGGTATTTGTGTGGGGTTGTGGTTGTGTGTGTGTGGTTGTGGGTATTTGTGTGGGGTTGTGGTTGTGTGTGTGTGGTTGTGGGTATAAACACTGTAATCTACACAGCCATTATAATTATTTAAAAGTCGGCTAGTTATTAACAATCTGTAGTTTTTTTTTTTTGTTTTGACATTAGAAAACTGTGTAAAATTTCATTCAAATAAAACCAATTTCACTTTTGTATAGTTAAAGAATACAAGTTTCTATTTCTCACCATTTCAAAAGTTCTTTCTCATACTATGAAGTTTGTTTGAAATATTTTTTTTTCTATCACAAAATCTGGAATATGCTACAGTGCATCTTAATTTTCAGTTAATAAAACAGGAAAACCAGGTAACGTAATCCTCAAACTACCAGAATTATTCCAGTTTTTTAACACCTTTTAAAATTCAAGACCACAGAGCAAACTTGTAAATAAATGAACACAAACACAAGTGTGCTTTTATGTGTGTGGGTATGTGGGTGTGTGTGTGTGTGTGTGTGTGTGTGTGTGTGTGTGTGTGTGTGTGTGTGTGTGTGTGTGTGTGTGTGTGTGTGTGTGTGTGTGTGTGGGTATGTGGGTGTGTGGGTGTGGGTATGTGGGTGTGGGTATGTGTGTGTGTGTGTGTGTGTGTGTGTGTGTGTGTGTGTGTGTGTGTGTGTGTGTGTGTGTGTGTGTGGGTGTGTGGGTGTGGGTATGTGGGTGTGGGTATGTGGGTGTGGGTATGTGTGGATGTATGTGTGTGTTTATGTGTGCAGGTATGTGTGTGGGTATGTGTGTGGGTGGGAGTGTGGTTATGTTGGTGTGGGTGTGGGTATGTGTGTGGTTATGTGGGTGCAGGTGTGGGTATGTGGGGTGTATGTGGGTGGAATGTGGGTATGTGGGTATGGGCATGTTTGTGTGGGTGTGGGCATGTTTGTATTGGTGTGGGTGTGGATGTGGATGTGTGTGGATGTGGATGTGTGTGGGTGTGGATGTGTGTGGGTGTGGATGTGCGGGTATGTTTGTGTGGGTGTGGATGTGTAGGTATGTTTGTGTGGGTGTGGATGTGTGGGTATGTTTGTGTGGGTGTGGATGTGTGGGTATGTTTGTGTGGGTGTGGATGTGTAGGTATGTTTGTGTGGTGTGTGTGTGGTTGTGTGTGTGTGTGGGTATTTGTGTGGGGTTGTGGTTGTGTGGGTGTGTGGATTTGGGTATGGATATGTGTGAGTGTGGGTATGGATATGTGTGAGTGTGGGTATGGATGTGTGTGAGTGTGGGTATGGATGTGTGTGAGTGTGGGTATGGATGTGTGTGAGTGTGGGTATGGATATGTGTGAGTGTGGGTATGGATGTGTGTGAGTGTGGGTATGGATATGTGTGAGTGTGGGTATGGATATGTGTGAGTGTGGGTATGGATATGTGTGAGTGTGGGTATGGATGTGTGTGTGTGTGTGTGGTGTGGATGTGTGTGTGTGTGTGTGTGTGTGTGTGTGTGTGTGTGTGTGTGTGTGTGTGTGTGTGTGTGTGTGTGTGTGTGTGTGGTTGTGTGTGTGTGTGTGGTTGTGTGGTTGTGTGTGTGTGTGTGGTTGTGTGTGTGTGTGTGTGTGTGTGTGTGTGTGTGTGTGTGTGTGTGTGTGTGTGTGTGTGTGTGTGTGTGTGTGTGGTTGTGTGTGTGTGTGTGTGGTTGTGTGTGTGTGTGTGTGGTTGTGTGTGTGTGTGTGTGTGTGTGTGTGTGTGTGGTTGTGTGTGTGTGTGTGGTTGTGTGTGTGTGTGGTTGTGTGTGTGTGTGGTTGTGTGTGTGTGTGGTTGTGTGTGTGTGTGGTTGTGTGTGTGTGTGGTTGTGTGTGTGTGTGGTTGTGTGTGTGTGTGTGGTTGTGTGTGTGTGTGTGTGTGTGTGTGTGTGTGTGTGTGTGTGGTGTGTGTGTGGTTGTGTGTGTGTGTGTGGTTGTGTGTGTGTGTGGTTGTGTGTGTGTGTGGTTGTGTGTGTGTGTGGTTGTGTGTGTGTGTGGTTGTGTGTGTGTGGTTGTGTGTGTGTGTGTGTGTGTGTGTGTGTGTGTGTGTGTGTGTGTGTGTGTGTGTGTGTGTGTGTGTGTGTGTGTGTGTGTGTGTGTGTGTGTGTGTGTGTGTGTGTGTGTGTGTGTGTGTGTGTGGTTGTGTGTGTGTGTGTGTGTGTGTGTGTGTGTGTGTGTGTGTGTGGTGTGTGTGTGTGTGGTTGTGTGTGTGTGTGTGTGTGTGTGTGTGGTGTGTGTGTGTGTGTGTGTGTGTGGCTGTGTGTGTGTGTGGTGTGTGCTGTGTGTGTGTGTGGCTGTGTGTGTGTGTGGCTGTGTGTGTGTGTGGCTGTGTGTGTGTGTGGCTGTGTGTGTGTGTGGCTGTGTGTGTGTGTGGCTGTGTGTGTGTGTGGCTGTGTGTGTGTGTGGCTGTGTGTGTGTGTGGCTGTGTGTGTGTGTGGCTGTGGCTGTGTGTGTGGCTGTGTGTGTGGTGTGGCTGTGTGTGTGTGTGGCTGTGTGTGTGGGTGGTGTGTGTGTGTGTGTGTGTGTGTGGTGTGTGTGTGTGTGTGTGTGTGTGTGTGTGTGTGTGGTGTGTGTGTGTGTGGTTGTGTGTGTGTGTGTGTTGTGTGTGTGTGTGGTTGTGTGTGTGTGTGGTTGTGTGTGTGTGTGGTTGTGTGTGTGTGTGGTTGTGTTGTGTGTGTGTGTGGTTGTGTGTGTGTGTGTGTGTGTGTGTGTGTGTGTGTGGTTGTGTGTGTGTGTGTGGTTGTGTGTGTGTGTGGTTGTGTGTGTGTGTGGTTGTGTGTGTGTGTGGTTGTGTGTGTGTGTGGTTGTGTGTGTGTGTGGTTGTGTGTGTGTGTGGTTGTGTGTGTGTGTGGTTGTGTGTGAGTGTGGTTGTGTGTGAGTGTGGTTGTGTGTGTGTGTGGTTGTGTGTGTGTGTGGTTGTGTGTGTGTGTGGTTGTGTGTGTGTGTGGTTGTGTGTGTGTGTGGTTGTGTGTGTGTGTGGTTGTGTGTGTGTGTGGTTGTGTGTGTGTGTGGTTGTGTGTGTGTGTGGTTGTGTGTGTGTGTGGTTGTGTGTGTGTGTGGTTGTGTGTGTGTGTGGTTGTGTGTGTGTGTGGTTGTGTGTGTGTGTGGTTGTGTGTGTGTGTGGCTGTGTGTGTGTGTGGCTGTGTGTGTGTGGCTGTGTGTGTGTGGCTGTGTGTGTGTGTGGCTGTGTGTGGCTGTGTGTGTGGCTGTGTGTGTGGCTGTGTGTGTGTGTAGCTGTGTGTGTGTGTGGCTGTGTGTATGTGGCTGTGTGTGTGTGTGGCTGTGTGTGTGTGTGGCTGTGTGTGTGTGTGTGTGTGTGTGGCTGTGTGTGTGGCTGTGTGTGTGTGGCTGTGTGTGTGTGGTTATGTGTGTGTGTGGTTGTGTATGTGTGTGGTTGTGTGTGTGTGTGGTTGTGTGTGTGTGGTTGTGTGTGTGTGGCTGTGTGTGTGTGGTTATGTGTGTGTGTGGTTGTGTGTGTGTGGTTGTGTGTGTGTGGCTGTGTGTGTGTGGTTATGTGTGTGTGTGGTTATGTGTGTGTGTGTGGTTGTGTGTGTTTATGCGGCTGTGCGTATATGTATGCATGTGTGTGTACTCGCATAAATGCTCATATATAATAGCTACACAACTTTACCTTAGTTTTGCGAGACATCTTGAGAGTATTTCAAAACCGCAAGCGATTTATGCAAAGCAATCAAAGGAATTCGTCGAAAATGTCGAAATTGCACAGCTGAATGTAGTTCCTCCCTTCCTGAAAAAAGAAAACAAAAAAAAATCAGTCACTGCATGAAAGGTTTTAGTAATATTTTACAATAAATATTCCTAACGACGAAAATGCAATGTGAGAGAACACGAAATGCATAGGAAAAGAGGGGCAGGGGGGCGGGGGGGGGAGCATGAGAGGGGGGGGGGATAGAGGGGAGAGTGAGAGAGGGCGACAAAGAAAGAGAAGGAGGAAGAGAGGGAGACTGGGAGGAAGAGAGAGGAGGGAAGAAGAGAGAGGAGGGAGGAAGAGAGAGGAGGGAAGAAGAGAGAAGAGGGAGGAAGAGAGAGGAGGGAGGAAGAGAGAGGAGGGAAGAAGAGAGAGGAGGGAAGAAGAGAGAGGAGGAGAAGAGAGAGGAGGGAGGAAGAGAGAGGAGGGAGGAAGAGAGAGGAGGGAAGAAGAGAGAGGAGGGAAGAAGAGAGAGGAGGGAGGAAGAGAGAGGAGGGAGGAAGAGAGAGGAGGGAGGAAGAGAGAGGAGGGAGGAAGAGAGAGGAGGGAAGAAGAGAGAGGAGGGAGGAAGAGAGAGGAGGGAGGAAGAGAGGGGAGGGAGGAAGAGGGAGGAGGGAGGAAGAGAGAGGAGGGAGGAAGAGAGAGGAGGGAGAATGAGAGAGGAGGGAGGAACAGGGAGGAGGGAGGAACAGAGAGGAGGGAGGAACAGAGAGGAGTGAGGGACAGAGAGAAGGGAGAATGAGAGAGGAGGGAGGAACAGAGAGAAGAGGAGGGAGGGAGGAAGAAAGAGGAGAGAAGAGAGGAGGAGGGAGGAAGAGAGAAGGAAAACAAGAGAGGAGAGAGGAAGAGGGAGGAGGGAGGAACAGAGAGGAGGGAGAAAGAAAGAGGGAGAAGAAGGAGAAAAGAAAGAGGAGAGAGGAAGAGAGAGGAGAGAGGAAGAGAAAGGAGGGAGGAAGAGAGAGGAGGGAGGAAGAGAGAGGAGGGAGGAAGAGAGAGGAGAGAGGAAGAGAGAGGAGGGAGGAAGAAAGAGGAGGGAGGAAGAGAGAGGAGGGAGGAAGAGAGAGGAGAGAGGAAGAGAGAGGAGAGAGGAAGAGAGAGGAGAGAGGAAGAGAGAGGAGAGAGGAAGAGAGAGGAGAGAGGAAGAGAGAGGAGAGAGGAAGAGAGAGGAGGGAGGAAGAGAGAAGGAAAACGAGAGAGGAAGAGAGAAGGAAAACGAGAGAGGAGGGAGGAAGAGAGAGGAGGGAGAAACTGAGAAGAGGGAGAAAGAGAGGAAAAAAGAGAGAGGAGGAAAGAAGAGAGAGGAGGAGAGGAAGAGAGAGGAGGTAGGAGAGAGAGAGAGAGGGAAGGAGAGAGAGAGAGAGGAGGAGAGAGAGAGGAGGAGGAGAGAAGAGGAGGGAGAGAGAGAGAGAGGAGGGAGGAGAGAGAGAGAGGAGGAAGGAGAGAGAGAAAGGGAGGAGAGAGAGAGAGGAGGGAGGAGAGAGAGAGAGAGAGAGAGAGAGAGAGAGAGAGAGAGGGAGGAGAGAGAGGGAGGAGGGAGGAGAGAGAGAGAGGAGGGAGGAGAGAGAGAGAGGAGGGAGGAGAGAGAGAGAGGAGGGAGGAGAGAGAGAGGAGGAAGGAGAGGGAGGTGGAAAGAGAGAGAGGGGGTGGAGAGAGAGGAGAGAGGAGAGAGGGGAGAGAGAGGAGAGGAGAGAGACAAGCACAGAGATAGAAGAAAACAGATTCAAACAAACAAGCAAAGGAGAGGAAGAAATAATCAGAGAAACAAACTAAGTTGAAATACAAACAAAGTTACAAAGAGTGACAACTTGACATGCAAAATCACACAGGCAGAGCACCCTCCAACGCATTCAAAAAATATTTACATTTGATCTCTCTCTTTCTTTTTTTTCTCCCTCTCTCTTTCTTTTTTCTCTCTGTTCAGTTCCCGCGACGTTCTCGAAAGGGAGTCCAGGGATTTCCGGGCGAATTCAAGGCACAAAAGAATAAAAGAATCTCGTGTTTGCTCCCTCGCCCGAGTCGCCACAAGTGCAAACAAACCACACCGGTCCCAAAGCACGTGTCGGAAATCTCACGCTTAGGTTTCATTCGGAAGAAAAATGTTTGTCTATGAATGAATGAATTTCGAATACCATGATTGTACTGTCATTAGCAAAATTTGTTATTCCTAAGATGATTTCTGTGTTCATACATGCGTTAATGATTCATTTTTTCCTAGACTTAATTTCCTTTACTTATTATTTTGATTTATTCAGATTTGAAATCAGTGTTACGTAAACAGTGATTCACGAACTTTGATGCGGATCTCAATCACTGACTTCGCATTACGATTCCAGATTCAAGTATTTACATTTTCCCCAACTTCCTCAACGGATATGGCTGAAGGGATAACGCAAAAATGCACGTTCTCTCTCTCTCTCTCTCTCTCTCTCTCTCTCTCTCTCTCTCTCTCTCTCTCTCTCTCTCTCTGTGTGTGTGTGTGTGTGTGTGTGTGTGTGTGTGTGTGTGTGTGTGTGTGTGTGTGTGTGTGTGTGTGTGTGTGTGATGAGAGAGAGAGTGACGATGGATATGAGTGTAAGGGCATACACGTGTCCTTATATGCATGTTTGTTTATGAGTAAGCATAAACGTTGTCCGCACACTTAACAAAAACACACACCGTGTACACAGAATATGCACAAGGCTTGCAGCCCAAATGCACGACCGCTGCGCCCTCCCCGCCTGTGTACTGGAGGCTCCCCTCGCTGTGTGAGGCGTGGGGGTTACATGCAAATTCCAAAAAGGCCGTAATGCTGTTTGAGGTAACTGGAATGCGCACAAAAGCGGGAGGTCGACCTTGGCATGTGACCCATGGGCGTTCAGTGGCCGCATTTTTTCTCATGTGCTTATCTGCGAGTGATAATAGCGAAGTCTTGTTGCTAAGAATGAGCAAACTCACAGTAACCTCAAAGAGGCAGTTTATTGTTAAGATTCTTAATGATAAACCTAAAGCAAAATATAATTTTTCTATTCGTTTTCGTACTATTTTTCATGGTATCGTTGGTATCATTACCATCATCACTACTAGTAGTTGCAAAAGAATATTTCCCTAGCTGATAATACAGCTTTAACCAATGTTCTTATTACTACAACCACAATACATATACGATTAATACTGCTGCTGTTGCTGCTGTTACTACCACTGCTGCTGCCGCTACAACTAGTGCTGCTAGTACCTACTACCCTGCTAATGGTACTACACTTTTATTAGTTAATTAATATTCTCTACATCCACTAGAAGTTGCAAATTAAGAGTGCGGGCGCTAATAACTGACAATTTTCCTCGTCATTATTGTTGCTGCCATTAGTACCACCACCGTTTTTATCCCTAACAATATCGTTTTAATCATAATTACTTTTAGTCTATCAGTGTCTTTCTACCTTAATATTCTAAACCTCCAATAATAAATGAGAAAATTAATAAAAAAGAACTATACTGGAAAATGACTCGGAAGTCGATGAATAAACAACAAAATATGTTATGCATGATAATACGAAAGAATAATAGGGAAAAAAGCAAAGAAAAGTAAATACAGAACGACGCAATTAAAAAAATATATATATTAATAAAAATATAAGAACAAGAAATATTTTCACCAAAAACAAAAACAACAAAAACAAAAATAAAGAACATACACAGCGAAATTAATACATAAAAAAACAAATAAAGATAAACACATTCACAACGAAGATAATCAAGAAAAAAAATAAATAAAAAGATACACAGCGAAGACAACAAAGAAAGGAAAAATGAAGATCTTGGGCAAGACGAAAGGCGACATCTTTAGGATCCCGCAAGACGGGCTTCGAGCCAGGGATCGGGGGCAGGCCTCGCGAGCTGTCGCCGCGTCGCCAGGAGTTGCGCGGCGGTTTGGTTGTTTGGTCGCCTTCTGGTGTACGTGTTTGCAGTTCAGTCGGGGTGTGTGTGTGTATAAGTGTGTGTATCAGTGTGTGTGTCAGTGTATGTGTCAGTGTGTGTGTGTGTGTGTGTGTGTGTGTGTGTGTGTGTGTGTGTGTGTGTGTGTGTGTGTGTGTGTGTGTGTGTGTGTGTGTGTGTGTGTGTATGTGTGTGTGCGTGGGTACGTGCATGCGTGAGTGCGTGCGCGCGCGTGTGTGGAAAAGCGAAAGAAAAAACAAAACAAAGAAATAGTGAGAAAAGGAAAGTCTTGAAAAATAAACAAACAAACACTCCCCCACCCCTTCCAGAACAGAACAGGATCAGCGCAGACACACGCAGACAGACAGACTACCAGACAGGCCACCGGAGCCCCGCAACCCAGACGCGGCCCTAGACATATCCTGCAGCGAGAGGCTCAAGCCAGGGGGGGGGGGGGGGTCTAGTGCTTGGCAGGCAGCGGCGGCGCACAGCAATTATGCATTCTTGGCGGATCGGGCCTCCTGCGCCCTCGGACACGGACGCAAGAATACGCACAAATGAATGCACAAATACACATGGATATAAAACACGAACAAACAAAAAGAGAACACTTTTTCCCAATCGTTTTCTTTCCCTAAGCAGACGCATGCCTTGTTAGATCACATCTAGCAACGGGCATTTCCCTCCTGCGCCGATATCTGATTAAACGTTTCCCTGCATTCGTGCATATGAAGTGAGAGAAGAAATATGGGTCTCAGTTTACACACAAACACATGCATAGATACACACACAGACACACACACACGCAACACACACGACTTTGCCCCCCCAAAACATAAATCACAAAAAAAAAAGAAATAATCAAACAGAAATTAACAAACAAACGAACAATAAACGAATAAACACAAATAACCATAACTGATAAAAAAGGAGAATCCTCACACCAATCAGAGAAAAAATAACCCACCAGAACTTGACAAAGAACCAAAACAAAAAAAATGGATAAATATAAATGACTCCGAACGATAAAGAGGGAATCAGCAACGGAAAATCCGGTTTCGGCGCGAGAGATTGCGGGTGCGGGGAAGGTACCGAAGGATGGCGCGTCGCCTGCCGTGTTGGAGGCG